TGCCTGAGGTTGGGGAAGAGTGACACAAGTACCCCTGTGGCCACCACCAATGAGACTGCGCTGGGTCAGACCTAAAGCCAGCCCAGCCTTGTGCCTCACTGAAGGCTTACAGCAACCCCTGCCTGAGTACCACCTGTGTTCACTCAAGGTTTAAGGGCTTTACAATCAGCAAGTGCTGAAGCCAGCTAGGCTTTTGTCCTTTTCTTCAGGATGGTGAGTTGCCTCCCTTTCCCACACAGGCTGAGAAATGGTATTTCAAAGCCAGGGCCTGGAGTCAGAAATCTTAGGAATCTACCTGGTGCTCTATTCTACTGCCCCTGAGCTGGCACCCAAGCCACAAGACCAAGTTCTTCCCACTCTTCTCTCTTTTTTCCACAAACAGTGAAGTCTCTTCCTATGACTACAACAACTGGGAATTTGTTGAAGCCAGCACATCTGTGAGTCTCACTCAATGCCCATGGCGAGTACTGCCTGGGCATTCCTGCTGACTCTTGAGAGCCTAAAGCTTTTTAGTCAGCAGGTGATGAATCGTGCTAGGACTGGGTTCTTTCCTTCAAGGCAGTGGGTTCCTTTCTGGCCCAGAGTTTGTCTAAAAATGTTGTCTGGGAGCTAGGGCCTGGAATGAGGGCCTCACAACTCTGCCTGGTACCATATTCTACTGTGGCTGAGCTGGTATCCAAGGTGCCAGACAAAGTCCTTTATACTCTTCCAAGTGAGGGATAGAGTCTCAGAATTGTGAGCTCTGCTACCTGGGGTTGAAGGAGGGGTGATGCAAGCACTCCCTTTGCCACCTCAGCTGGTATCTCACTGGGTTGCATGCTCCCCTCATTCACTGGCTTTGAGCCCAGCACAGAATCAGGAATTCCCCAGGAATTGTGGTCCTTGTGGCATGGACTGCCTTTCAGGTTTATTTAGGACCCCAGACCCCTTTAGCTCATGGTGATGGGACTTGCCTTTGCCTGAACTCTGGTTCCTACTCCTGGGATGGGCAATTCCCTTCTGGCTAGGGCTGGTCAAAATGCTTCCTCTATGAGGGGTGGCTGAGTTCTGCCTAGTGTTGCTTTCATCTGTGACAGGTCATCACTGAGTTTCAATGCAGAGTCCCACAGTTACTACACTCTCCCTTCCGTAAGTTCGCAGATTCTCTTCCTGCACTCTGTGGCTGCTGCTGATAGGTGAAGGAGGGATGATATCAAGAATTTAAGACTGTCTTTTCTACCCTCTTCAGTGCCTCTTTTTTATATATAAAGTTAAAACAAGGTACTGTGATTGCTCACTTGATCTTTGGTTCTTATGACAGTGCTTTTTTTGTGTGAATAGTTGTTCAATTTGGTGTTCCTGTGAGGAGGATGATTAATGGAGGCTTCTCTTCCACCATCTTCTTAATACTTCCTTGCTGGAAATGATTGCTTTTTTGGTAGTGTTATATCTCCTTGGTTTTTCATGATTATGCTTACCTTCTGCTGATGTCTGTGTATGTAGGAAGTAGGGACTTATTCCAGTCTGTTTAGATTGTCTTTGTCTGGAAAATGTCTTCACCAGTCAGCCCGTGTGGTGATTCTGGGCAAGCTGTTTGCATGGTTGGTAGGTGGGCTTGTTGCTGGAATTCTTGAGCAGACTGAACCAGTGCCTGGGTCAGCAGGTGTGTGTCCCTCATCCCTGGGTTCGTTGGGTTGGGCTTTGATCCTGGAACCTCTGTTGTGGACCGATTCATTTGGTCTGTAGGCTTTGTCCTCAAATCTGTTTCTGTGGTAACTGACCTTAAACTTGGGCCCACAGAGGCTGACCTGGCATTGAAGTTGGCCTTGAGCCTGTGTCAGGAGGGGCTGGCTAGGTGTTGGGATGGCGTTAGTGCACAGGTGCACTGGGATGGACCTTGTGACCATGGGACCTGACCTGTTGCTTGGTTGGTCCTGGGCCTGAGTCTTTTAGGGTGGAACTTGTTTTGTGTCCGCAAGAGTGGATTTGGACACTCTTTCCATATGGTTTGTCTTGGCACTGGGTTCTACTGCCATACTATTGGTCTGTTGGTCTGTTGGAGTGTGACTTTACAAGGGCTGGCCTGGAAGGTGGGGCCTCAGGGACCAGCATGGCATTGTGTATGCCTAGAATCTGTTTTTGCAGGTTCTGACCTTTGCCTTAGACCAGGATGCTAACCTGTCGCTGTGTTGGGCTGATGTTTGCAGTGGTATGGGCCTCTGTTTTACTGGGCTGGTCTGAAACCTGAAGGAAGCCTGGAGGCTAGGACTACGGGGGCTGGTCTTGTGCTGAGTGGGCCTGGACCTTGTACCTGCAGGTGCCACCCTGGAGGCTGGGTCTTTGTGTGCTGGCTTGATGACTAGGGTTTTAGGCACTTGTGCTGTGCTGGGACATGCCTTGTAACCTGGGGCCATGTGAGCCAGTATAATAATGGGAGTATTCAGGAGTCCAGGATGGCTGGGGCTGTCCTGGCTCTGTAATATGCCTGGAGGTTGCATGTAGACCTTGTCCACTGGACAGGCCTGGAACCTAGAGCTGTGGGATCTCACCTAATGCCAGGGTGGGCTGGGAGGCTTGGTCTGCAGATAACAAACAGCCTGGATCGTGGGCTATGGGGGCTGGTTTGGTGCTAGGTGTGCCTGGAGCCTATATCCACAGAGGCTTGTCTGGAGGCTGGTTCTGAGGGTGCTAGCCTGATGATTAAGCTGCAGGGCCTGGCCTGATGCTGGGGTGTGCCTGAAGCCTGGGGTCATGGGAGCCAGCCTGGTACTGAGGGCATTGTAGAAGTCTGGAGTCATCCTAGAGATTGGGCAGGCCCAAAGACCAAGTCTGGTGGTCAGGCATGGAGCCTGGGGATGTGGGATTTGTTCTGGCACGGGAGTGGACCTGGAGGCTCCATCTGTGTATACAACCCTGACGTCTGAGACTGTGGGGGTCTGCCTAGCACTGCATTTTACTGGTGAAACAGTAAACAATTGCCTGGTATTGGAGTTCAAGGCAGAGTTGAGTGTTCTGTTCTCTCTTTTTCTCCTTAGCAATGAGTATCTCTGTTTATCTCTGTGGTTGGGGAGGGATGAACAGGAAATGTTAAACTGTTCTTACCCTGTTCAGTGCGTCTTTTATTTTTTTTGCTACACTCAGTTGCTATAATCTCCCACCTGGTTTCCTCAGGTCTCATGAAGGTATTTTCACATGTGAAGAGTTGTTCAAGTTGATGTTGCTGTTGAGGGACAAATGTTGGAAAGTCCTATTCTTTTAACTTGCTTATGTCAGTCTCCACTGATTTTTTTCATAAAACCAGCATTTGGTTTCATTGATTTCTGTTCTAATCTCTTGTATTTCTTCTGCTTTCTTTGGGTTTAATTTTCTATTTTTCTTAAGTTTTTGAGACACATTTTATTTTTAATATAAGCGTGTATTTCTTTTTCTAGGTCTCTTTTTCCATATGGTACTTCCAAGGAGTATCATATTCTTTCTGTTTTAAGAACTTCCTTTAAGTTCCATGCAGTGAAGGTCTACTGCCAATGAATTTCTTCAATACGTGTCCATCTGGAAAAGTTTTTATTTTTAAATTTTATTCATTTTTATAATTTTTATTTACTTATTTATATTTTCCAAAGCCTAATTTCACTGTGTATGAGATTCTGGGTTGTCAGGTTTTTTTTTTTTTTTTTTTTTTTTTTTTCTCTCAATTTATAGACATGACTCCAAAGCTTTCCAGCTTGCATGGTTTCTCAAGAGTAATCTTCTCTAATTCTTATCATTGGGTCTCGCTACACAATGTGTATTTTTTTTTGGCCGCTTTCAAAGTTTTTTCTTTATCTTTGGGTTTTAGCAGTTTGACTATGAAGGCAAACTAGGAGCATGTGTTTATGTTTGGTATTTGATTTGACATTTGTGCTTCCAGGGATTCGCTGAGGTTCTTGTGTTTAATTTGGTGGTGTCTTTCATTAGTTTTGGAAAATTTTTGGTCATAATCCCTTCAAATATTTCCTTCATTTCTATTCTTTTTCTGTGAACAATTATACATATGGTAGGTTGGGTTAACTCTTGGATGCACTGTTATTTTATATTCCCCACTTATATATATTTTTCTTTTTATTTTAGTTTGGATAATTTTTATTGACTAATTTTTAAAGTTTATTTATATTTGCCTCGGCACTTTCAAGTCTACCCAAGAGCCCCCAAAATGAAGGAATTCTTCATTTTTAATAGCATGTAAATTTTCTTCCATTGGACTGGAGCGCCTATGTAGTATTTTTTCTCTCTCTGGATTCTTTATATCACTCTTATTGAAAGACTGTGTCTCAGTGATTTGAAGTTCATAGGTCTTGACCTCACTGTGTAAGTCAAATTAGCTTTCTGTATTTCTGAAGTTAAATGGTAGAAAAATAATATTGTAAGTATTTTAGAACATGTGATTGAAAATGTACTCCAAATGGTAGATAGAAATTTAGAAATATAATCTCAAGAAATATTTCCATGAACATGTATTATATTAATTGGTTATTTAATATGTATATTAGAAGGTGGAGACTGGGTATGGTGGTCCACACCTATAATCATAGCACTTTAGGAGGTTGAGGCAGGTGAATGCCTTGAGGTCAGGAGTTCGAGACCAGCCTGGTCAACGTGGCGAAACCCCATCTCTACTAAAAGTATAAAAATTAGCTGACATGGTGGTGTGTGCCTGTAGTCTTAGCTATTCAGGAGGCTGAGGTGGGAGAATTGCTTAAACTGGGGAGGCAGAGGTTACAGTGAGCCAAGATCGCACCACTGCGCTTTAGCCTGGGCAGCAGAGCGAGACTTCGTCTCAAAAAAGAAGGTGGAACTAGTTGCAATACTTTTGCAAACAGTGTGCCATGAAAAGTGTTAATTTATCATCAGAAAATTAAATTTTCATTCTTTTTATTCTCATCTTGTATATTTTTTGGTTATAAAATTGTGTCTATAAATTGTGATAATTTTTCCTTTAGAGAGCATCAGGAAACCAATTTTTTTCTTATTTATTTTCTCTACAGAAAACTGCATCAGCAGTTTGAAATGTATAAGGAACAGGTAAAGAAGATGGGAGAAGAATCACAGCAACAGCAAGAACAGAAGGGTGATGCGCCAACCTGTGGTATCTGCCACAAAACAAAGTTTGCTGATGGATGTGGCCATAACTGTTCATATTGCCAAACAAAGTTCTGTGCTCGTTGTGGAGGTCGAGTGTCATTACGCTCAAACAAGGTACAGAAATGAAAATTACAATTCTCTTCTAGTTAAGCTTATTGTATTTATCCATTTGCGTTACAGAGTATGTTAATTCAACCCAAATAATGCTTTGTTGAAATTAGCAAAAACAATATATTAAAATGCTTGTGGCCAGGCATGGTGGCTCATGCCTGTAATCTTAGCCCTTTGGTAGGCCGAGGCGGGCAGATCACTTTAACCCAGGAATTCTAGACTAGCCTGGGTAACATGAAACCCTGTCTCTACAAAAAAAAAAAAAAAAAAAAAAAAGACACACAAAAATTAGCCAGGCATGGTGGCAGGCTCCTATAGTCCTAGCTACTCAGGAGGCAGAGGTGGGAGGATGACCTGAGCCAGAGAGGTCAAGGCTGTGGTAAGTCATGATTGTGCCACTGTACTCCAGCCTGGGTGACAGAGTGAAACCATGTCTCAAAAAAAAAAAAAAAGTTTGGGCCGGGCGCCATGGCTCAAACCTGTAATCCCAGCACTTTGGGAGGCCGAGGTGGGCAGATCACGAGGTCAGGAGTTTGAGACCAGCCTGGCCAATATGGTGAAACCCCGTCTCTACTAAAAAATACAAGAGTTAGCTGGGCGTGGTGGTGTGTGCCTATAGTCCCAGCTACTCAGGAGACTGAGGCAGGAGAACTGCACTTCAGCCTGGGCAACAGATACTCCGTCTCAAAAAAAAAAGTTTGTGTCAGTAAATTCTTTAGACTTTGCATTATCTACTTACTAATCTTATCACCTACTTATTTATTTAAGTAATTTTTAAATAGGAAGCTATTGTTTTACATACATTACTTAGACATAATTGTGGAAATTAGTTCCCCTGTGTGATTTCATTTCTTCATTTTCTTCATTAATCCCCATTTTTCATTATTTTGTACTTCTAATTGTTTCCCCTGGATTACCTGATTATGATTTTTTTTTTCTTGACTAGGTACATTGACTAGAAACTGCAATATAATTTTGAATAAAATGGATGAAAGCAGACATTCCATTGTATTGTTCTTAATCTTAGGGAGAAAGCCCTTAGTCTTCTCTATCAGGTATAATGTTAGCTGTACGCTTTTCATAGATGCCATCTATTCCTACTTTGCTGAGTTTGTTGTTGTTTGGTTGGTTTTGTAAGATCAGGAATAGATGTTGGATTTTGCCAAGTGCCTTTTCTCCATCTGTTTAGATTAATCATACATATTTTTATTTTGTTTGTTAATGTGGTGAAATACATTGGTTGATTTTTATATGTTAAATCAGCTTTTATTACTGGGATAAACCCCGTTTTGTCATGATGGATTATCTGTTTTATATATTAATGGATTTGATTTGATTATTTTTTTTTTTAGGGATGAGTGTCTTGCTATGTTGCCTAGGCTGGAATTGAACTCCTGGGCTCAAGTGTTCCTTCTGCCTCAGCCTCCCAAGTAGCTAGGATGACAGATACATGCCATGGTGCCTGGCTGATTTAATAAAATTTTGTTTACAACTTTTGCTTCTATGTTCATGAGGCATGTGTCTGTATTATTCTTCCTTGTAATGTTTTTCTTTGGTTTTGGTATTGGGATAATGCTGGCCTGAAAAAATGTGTTGGGAAGTATTTCCTCCTCTTCAACATTTTGGAAGAGATTGTGTAGAACTGGTAGATTACACCAGTGAAGGCATGTGGGCATGCAATTTTATTTGTTGGGAAGGTTTTTAAGTAAAGTTTGTTTTCTTAGTGGATATGGGGTTATTCAGGTTATATTTCCTGAATAAGGTTTCATTGTTATATCTTAGTTTGTCTACTTTCTCATAAGTGGTTGAATTTATTGGCATGAACTTGTTCATAGTATTCCATTATTAGTCTTTTAGTATCTATGGAATCTGCAGTGATGCTACCTCTTTCATTCCTGATATTGGTAATTTGTATCTTTTTTGTTCCTGCTCAACCTGGCTAGAGAAAGGATCTTACTCTGTTGCCCAGGCTGGATTGTAGTGGCACAACCACAGCTCACTGCAGTCTTGACCCCCTGGGCTCAGGTAATCTTGTCACTTTGGGCTCCCAAGTAGCAGGGACTATGGGTGTGTGCCACCATGTCCTACTAATTTTTAAAATTATTTTTGTAGCGATGGGGCCTTGCTGTGTTGCCCAGGCTGATCTTGAGCTTCTGGCCTCAAGCAGTTCTCCCACTTTGGCTTCCCAAAGTGCTGGGACTACAGGTGTGGGCGCCACCACGCCTGGCCCAGATTTTTGTTTTATTGATTTTTCTTTGTTGTTGATTTCTGCTTTGATCTTTGATCTTTTTTCTTTTCTTTTTGTTTCTTTTCTTGTCTTGTCTTTTTCTGCTTACTTTGGGTTTAATTTTACCGTTTTTACTTTCTTAAAATAGAAGCTGAGGTCATTGCCTTGATACTTTTCTTCTTTTCTAAATTAGGAGTCACATTCTATAAATTTTCCCTAAGTACTACTTTACTGGCATCATCACAATTCTCATGTGTTGTTTCTTCATTTTATTAAGTTAAAAATACTTTCTCATTTTTCTTTTCTTCTTTTACCTATAGATAATTTAGAAGTATGTTATTTATTTTTCAAATATTGTGTGGTTCCTAGGTATCTTTTTGTTAATGATTTCTAATTTACCTCTCTTGTGGTCTTAGAATATACTTTATATGTCTTGAATCATTTGGAATTTGTTGATACTTATTTTATGGCCCAGAATATAGTTTACTTTGGTAAGTGCTTTATGTGCACTTAAGAAGCATGCATATTCTTCTGTTTTTGGCCAGAATATTTTAAAATGCCCATTCAAGGCCAATTTCATTGATAGAGTCATTTAAGTCTGCTATCTCACTGTTGATTTCCTGCCTATTCTATTAGTTGTTAAGAGAGGGGTTTTGAAATATATAATATGTAGATTTGTCTGTTTCTCCTTGGAGTTCTATTAGTTATAGTTTTGTGTATTTTTAGGCTCTGTTTTTAGGGACATAAACATTAGGATTGTTATATCCTCTAGTTTAACAGACCCCTTTTTATTAAGTGATATTCTTTATTTTTGATAATATTCTTTGCTCTGAAATTCACTTGGTCTAATATATATATATATAGACCAAGTCTCTGTCTCTCTCTATCTAGATATATATTTGGAAATGGAATTGCATATATGTATTGCCTTAGGTATTAGCATAGTATATGTTCTTCTATTATTTTACTTAAAATTTGTTTGAAGTACTTTTCTTATAGCCAGCATATAGTTGGATCTTGCTTTATTATCCAACCTGATAATCTCTTCCTTTTTATTGGATGTTTATAAAATGTACATTTACTGTGATTATGGATATGGTTTCATTTGATAACATCATCTTGCTTTTTGATTTTGTCTTATGTCATCTGTTCTTTGTTTTTTCATTTTTAGCCTTTTTAAGCCTTTTTTGAGATTACTCAAGTTTTTTTATGATTCATATTTTCTCCTTTGTTGGCTTAATAGCTGTAACTGTTTTGTTATTTTATTAAGTTATTCAAGATTTGTGGTATACATATTTAAATTATTGTTGTCAACCTTCAACTGATATTACACTATTTCATGTGTATTATAAGAAGCTTACAATAATGTTGGATTCTATGTTACTGGTGTCATATTTTACTTTTATTCATTTTATAAACCCCACAATATATTGTTATTCTTTTTGTATAAAAAGTTTATCTTCCAAGAGTTTCAAATATTAAATAATTTTTGAAAAGAACTATATTTATACTATATTTATTCTTGTAGTTGTTTCTGGCATTGTTTGTTTTTGTAGATCTATAATTATATCTGGTATCATATTTTGTCTGTCTTAAGTATTTCCTTCAGTATATCTTGAAGGGCAAGTCTGCTGCTAATGAATGGTTTCAATTTTTTTCATGCTGAAAATTTTGCCTTCATTTTTTAAAAAGATATTTTTGCTGATTGTGGAATTCTTGGTTGACAGTTTTTGTCTTTCAGTATTTTTAAATTGAAAATTTATGGATACATAATATTTAATAGTCATACATATTAATGTGGTATATGTGATAATGATAACAATTGTACAATGTGTAATGATTAAATCTGGATAATTGGGATATCTGTCACAGCAGACACTGACCATTTCATTGTTTGGGGAACATCCCAAATCTTTTCTCCCAGCAATTTTGAAATGTACAGTGAATTACTGTTAACCATAGTCTCTTTCTTATTGTAACTGAGCACTGACCTTGTGTTTTCTATCTAATTATATTTTTATACCCATTAACCAACCGCTCTTTATTCCCGCTTCCTCCTACCCTTCCCAGCCTCCAGTAATTACCATTCTATTTACTACCTGCATGAAATCAATTTTTTCTCCCCCATATGAATGAGAACATGTGGTATTTGTCTTTCCGGGCCTGGCCTGTTTCACTTAACACAATGACATCCAGTTCCATCTGTGTTGCTGCAAATGAGAGGATTTTATTCTTTTTTAGGGCCGAATAATATTCCATTGTGTATATATACAACATTTTAAAATTCTTTCATCTGTTGATGGTCACTTAGGGTGATTTCCTAGCTTGGCTATTGTGAATATGCTGCAATAAGCAGGGGAGTACAGGTATCTCTTCAATACGTTTATTTCCTTTCTTTTGGGTACAGACCTGATAGTGCTGGATCATATGGTGGTTCTATTTTTAGGCTTTTTTCGAGGAACCTCTATACTCTTCTCCATAGTGGCTGTACTAATTTATATTCCTACCAACAGTATACAAGTGTTCACCTTTGTCTGCATCCTTGTTAACAGTTGTTATTTTCTTTTTCATAATTGTGATTTTAATGAGCGTGAGATGATATCACATTGTGGCTTTAATTTGCATTTCTCTGATAATTAGTAATGTTGATCATTTTTTTCATATACCTGTTGGATATTTGTATTCTTTTGAGAAATGTCTATTTATATCTTTTGTCCATTTTTAAATCTGATGATTTTTTATTTTGCTATTGAGTTGTTTGAGTTTTTTGTATATT